AAGTTGCCTGTCCCTGGAGATGAGTGAGACGGAAGAAAAACCGCTCACATCTGAGGAAAAACTATTTACGTCTGAGGAACAGATAGGGAGAAAGGATGGATGCACATGTCAGGAGGATAGAAAGGCTATAATGACTTTTTGTTGTTCCCTTTTTATTTCATTCTGTCTCGGTTTTGTTTGGCGTCATCTTGTTGGGTTGTATTATAGTAGAAATACGGGATCAGAAATTAGTAAAAAACAAACTGAAAGAGTGTTAAGTAAATTGTTAGAGGAAGGAGGCATCTCAGTAAAATCAAGAACAATCAGGGCATACGTTGATACAATACAAAGATGTAGCCCATGGCTTTTTAAGGAGGAGTTGTTGAATATATCACAATGGAACCATCATGGTGAAGATTTAAAAAGAATAGAAAAGAAAAGCCCAGGGACTCTGCCAGTTGGCACATTGCCATTGTGGACGTTCATATCTTGTTTGCTTAGTCCAAAGCCTTCAGTTCAGACAATGGTAGAGGAAGGAGAAGACATAATGATTCAAGTAAAAGAGAAGGTCTCTCAAGTTAGTCAGACAGAGGAAAAGATTCAAGTAAAAGAGAAGGCCTCTCAAGCTAGTCAGACAGAGAAAGAAAGTGTAAAACAGAAAAAGCCATCAGGGGGAAAGTTACAACAGGAGACTGCTACTAACACCTTTCTATCACCAGAGGGTGTAAGTGTCCAACCAACAGCACCACCTCTACAGGAGACTGCTACTAACACCTTTCTATCACCAGAGGGCGTAAGTGTCCAACCAACAGCGCCACCTCCATATGCTGGGAGGCCCCCAACCCCCGCAGTTGATAGTTGGGATCCTGAGACAAGATCTCAAATATTAACATGCCCTGTATTTGAGGCAGGAGGGCAGCGATTTTACCAAGTTTTAAATTTCAAAACAGTGAAGCAGCTAAAAGAGGCTGTAACAACCTATGGTCCTCAAGCACCCTTCACTGTAAGCTTGGTCGAATCCATTAACAACTTGAACATGACGCCAGCAGATTGGGCTAATATGTGTAAAGCTGTGCTAAATGGAGGACAATACCTGTTATGGAAGGTTGCCAATGAGGAATTTTGCAAGGAGACGGCTAGGCGAAATGCAGCAGCTGGTTATCCTCAGAGAAATCTAGATATGTTGTTAGGAAAGGGACCTTATGAGGATCAGCAGCAACAAATTGCATATGATCCTGGCGTATACGCACAAATTGCTGCAGATGCAATTAAGGCATGGAAGACTTTACAAGGACATGGAGGTTTACAAGGTCAATTATCTAAGGTAATACAAGGAGCTAATGAACCTTATGCTGAATTTGTAGATAGGCTTATTCAAACAGCTACCAGAGTTTTTGGGAATACAGAACAAGCAATGCCATTACTAAAACACCTGGCTTATGAGCAAGCGAATCGTTGGTGCAGAGATATCATTAGACCATGGAAACATGAAGATTTAAACACATATATTAAATTATGTAGAGACATTAATGAACAAGAGCAAGTCGTGGCAGCTGCAGTAAAACAGGCTTTAGATGCCAGAGACATTAATGAACAAGGGCAAATTGTGGCAGCTGCAGTAAAACAGGCTTTAGATGCCAGGCCAAGAACATGCTACAATTGTGAACAAACAGGACAATGGGGACAGAAAAGATCCATTCTTTATAGGACATATCAGGGCACATACAGGATTGCCTGGAGCCCTTAGTTTGGGCAATGATTTAGCAGATAAAACTACACATGACATACATATTTTCTCTACACTAGAAGAAGCTATAAATTTTCATAAAAAGTTCCATGTCAATGCTAATACTTTACAAAAGCGTTTTAAAATAACTAAGGAACAAGCTAGACAAATAATAAAACAATGTCAAAATTGTGTGACCTTTTTACCACAAGTTAATCTTGGAGTCAATCCTAGAGGATTGATACCTAACCATATTTGGCAGATGGACGTCACACACTTGCCAGAATTTGGAAAATTAAAATATTTGCATGTTACAGTTGATACTTCTTCTGGATTTTTGATGGGCTCCCTTCATGCCGGAGAAAAAACTAAAGATGTTATAGCTCATTGCTTACAAAATTTTGCCACTGTGGGTGTTCCAAAACAGTTAAAAACAGATAATGCCCCTGGTTATACTTCTACCTCTTTTAAACAATTTTGCTCAACATTTGGCATTACTCATATAACAGGAATCCCATACAATCCACAGGGACAAGGCATAGTTGAAAGAGCTCATCAAACTATTAAAATGTACTTATTAAAGCAAAAAGAAGGAATTGGGAAGGGGTATATATTCCCCAAAGATAAACTTAAAATAACCCTTTTTACTCTAAACTTTTTAAATTTGGATTCATCAGGACTTAGTGCTGCGGAAAGGCATATGTGTCCAAAAAATGTACATAAGCCCAAGGTACTTTGGAAGGATATTCTAACAGGACAATGGAAAGGTCCTGACCCAGTAATTGTCTGGAGTCGGGGGTCTGTTTGTGTGTTTCCACAGGGAGAACAGCAGCCGATTTGGATTCCAGAGAGATTAACCAAGGTCCTGACCCAGTGATTGTCTGGAGTCGGGGGTCTGTTTATGTGTTTCCACAGGGAGAACAGCAGCCGATTTGGATTCCAGAAAGATTAACTAAAGCGATTTCTACAGACCAAAAAGAAGATGATTTGGCTCAAATCCATAACAACTGATATCCAAAACTCCAGTTTGGCTATTCTTACATCTGCAACAGAACCAGGATGCTTTTTTCAATATCTATTTTATTATTGCCCTTTGCCATATCATGAAGTTCTATTTTGTTTTTTGAGCTCATACAGACCTAGGTTAATGTTTTGCTGATCAGTTCTATTTTTTGACTATAGAGTTTTTAAACATTGCAATGGAGATTTCACCTGTAAAAAGTTATAAGGCCTTTACTATAATGTTATGTGTTGTATGTATTATATTATGTGTGCACACTTGTGTTTTGTGTTATATGTTTGAATGTACGTATGTCCATATATCATATATGATGAGCGCTCATGATAAAATGGATCCAAATATTTTTTTTTTCACGTGATTTATATGGTTTAATTTAAATTGGGTAAACAACTGTTGAGGATTGTTTTAATATGTAAACAAAAAAGAAGGTTAACAGATCTGTTTGTTTACTTTCACCTTTCCTTTTCATTATATTTAATAATTCTCTTAAAGATAATGTAAATTGTTAAGAAAATTGTTTTCTTTTAGTGCCTTCTGTAATGTTACATAATTTTTTCTTTAGCCATTATTGCCAGAATTCCTATCTTCATCCCAGTGCCGGTGAAGACAATGTAAAATGTTAAGAAAATTGTTTTCTTTTAGTGCCTTCTGGAATGTTACATAATTTTTTCTTTAGCCATTATTGCCAGAACTCCTATCTTCATCCCAGTGCTGGTGAAGTGAAAGATAAAACCAATCTACAGCTTCTACAATAGCCATCACTGAACTGCTTGCAGAACTTGCCTGGACACATTGTGAGCTCACCTGTATGCATTGTGAACTATCTGTTGGTACAGCGAATTGTGGTAGTGCTGGAGTATTTTTGCTGATGGTGTCACCGGTGGTACAATTTAGGAGCCCTCAATTGGCTTAATGTCATGGCATTTTGCATCCTCCTCTACTAGTGATGGTCTAAAATTTGGGGGCCAACAGAGGTGAGGCAAAGAACCTCACCCCCCCACAGGTGCAAAGGCCTATCCACAAGTATGGCTGTATGCTGGACCGGTAGTCAGTGACGGGTATGATCCAATTGCAGTGGTACCAACCTAAGACAGGAGGCTGACGCCTAGAGGTCAGTTCATCCGATGACGGGTAAGGACCATATGTTGAATTGGACTGCCTAACAGGCACGGTCCCTAAGCCACATGCTTGTTGTTTAAACAGAGAGGGGGAGATGTTGAGAGCCACAGCCAAAGGGGCCCCAGCAAACTTCCAGCTGCCAGCAAACTTCCAGCTGCTGGCTGATGATTGGCTCACAGCGGCCCCAGCAACATCTAGCTGATTGGCTCCTCGGCCCCAGCAACATCTAGCTGATTGGCTCCTCTGCGGTGATGCTCATTGGACTGTTTCCCTGCCCTTTCAGACCACGGAGCTGCTCATTGGGGGACTTTTTTGGCTCCGCCCACGTGACCCAGCCAATCGGCCTTAAGAGCAGGAGGATTGTGGGAGGTGGAGAGAAGCTTGTGTGGGAGAGAGAGGCTTGGGGAAAGCCGGTGGTGGCAGTTGAGGCTCTGAGGGTTTTTCCTGACAGACTATTTTGTTTGTCGTGTGTGGTTCTAAAAATATAGTTAGTTTCTTTTGACAAGTGGCTCCTGATTGTGCCCAGCCAGACTGCGGCAGTATTGTGTCCATATACAATTAAAAATATTTTTAAAAAGATATAATATTACTTATTAATTTTTTTGTGTAATAGTGTTACTATCATGTTTTAAAAAGACCTTATCTTTCAAAGATAAACACTAAAGTATCTATAGATTATATAATATAGTTTTGCTTCAAAAATAATGCAAGGTGAGGAAGGAGGTGAGGAGATATTTAACTCAACAAGAATGGAATGTATTATTGAAGGGAGGTGTTGGGCACATGATGGCTCACTTTTTTCCTTCTTTTATGTGTATCTTAAACTTTTCATGATATGAAAAAGAGGAGGAGGAGAAAAGAGAAAACACAGAAACTGAACAACAGAACCCCTAATTCTAACAATAATACTGTTATTTTCTTACATTTTATAATGGGTAATTACATTTTTGTTTTAAAATAAAGGGTACAAGTATTCTCAAGAAATAGTAGTACTGTTCCAAATCCTAACAACAGAATTTTATTCTGTAACAATTTATGTAGTATATTTATTTGTTTAGTATGACTAGGAAGAATTAAACATACTGAAAAGAAAAGGAAAAGGAAATAATTTAGGGAAAAAATATAAAAAATATAAGCCTGAAAAGAACTGCTCACCGTCAAAAGCTTGGTAGTGATTCCTGCATCAACAACAGCTTTGTGCATGGCACGTAGCGTCTCTAGCTCTGGAGCCGCAATAAATACCACATAGGGCATGAATTCGGACGTCCTCAACACTTTCAGTGCCTGTGTAAAATAATTACAAACCAATTTATATTAGAACTTGAATATGCCACTCTTTAGTGTAACTCAAAGTCTATCTGCCTTCTTCCTAAGGATTACGGACATAATTTACTCCCTCTCCTACTGTTCTGCTGATTTCATATAGTACCTTCCTAAAATAGTGATTCATTAATTTTGTAGTAAACTCAGTTTCAGTCCTCTTTGTTCCTTCAAACAAAGGAAAAGTGTAAGATTTAGTGATCCAAAAATCATGAGTCATGTAAACTCTTTCTGTATAATTGTAAAATTCTGTCAATATTGAAAAAATAGAAATAACCTCAGTGCTGACTACTTAAGAGTGATAAATAAATACATGTACATCCATATTGTGATATACTATGCAGCAACCACAAAGAAGAAAAATTATTCACAGAACCTGACATGGTCTTCAACCACTGCTTTATAAAAAAGCTAAATAATCTGTATTAAATGCTTCCATTTATGAAAAAGGTAATGACAATAAAATAGAAAAACCCATTACATTATAGACGTTTGTATTTAAGGCTTACTAAAATGGCTAGAAATATACATATCAAACTATTAATATTTATCGTTGAGAAGGGAAATGAGGTTGGGCTGTATATGAAAAGGTGGAAGGGGTGAGAGAGAGACACGCAACAAGAATGAAGGGAATGTCCTGTGTGTGAGAGCGAGAGCGAGAGAGCGAGAGAGCGAGAGAGAAAGAGCGCGCAGGCTGCCCACTACTTGGGGCGGGGTGGAGAGAGACACAGACATAACAGAGAAAGGAGGGGAAGGGACTTCAGTTTTTTATTCTTTGTATTGCAGCCTTGAGTATTTCCTAACACATGCATTTGCGTATTTTGAGAAAATAAACAAAACCTAACTTCTGCAGATTTAATCACATGGTTTCTATCCTTATTTGACCCTTTGCTAGCTAACTCATCAGAGATTTATTTAACTAGTGATGGATACACAATAAGATTCTCTACCAACAAAATATAAAAGAGTGAAAGAGCAACCCACCTTCCACCTCTGACAAAACAAACAATACCAGCCTCCCTAGACACATAAAACAAAAGCTCCCCAGGAAATAAAAACTTTATTTATTTATTTATTTTTTAAATATTTATTTTTTAGTTTTTGGCGAACACAACATCTTTGTTTGTATGTGGTGCTGAGGATTGAACCCGGGCCGCACGCATACCAGGCGAGCGCACTACCGCTTGAGCCACATCCCCAGCCCCGAAATAAAAACTTTAAACACAGCTTTGGAAACCATGCTGCTCACTTGTGGGTTGACATCCAAAATGCAAGTTCGTCCGGTCTGGACAACTTCAAGAATAGAGTCGATCTTGGTTCCATAGAGGTTTCCTTCATATTCCCCATGCTCCAAATACTTTCCAGCTTTAATATCTGCTTCCATCTCTGATCGTGACACAAATTTATATGCTTGGCCATCTTTTTCATCTTCCCGTGGCTTCCGTGAAGTAACTAAATAAAATAATGTCAATTATTTGTACAAAGAAACTGTAGGGTATAAAAAATGGACTAACATAAACCAGGTAGCTTCTCACTTTTCCATGTAGTGCAGGTGCTATCAAATGACAGCCTATGACCAAATCTGACTTACTTGCAATTTTTGAAAATAAAGATTTATTGGGTCATAGCCAGGCTCATTCATTATCCATGATTTCTTTCCCATTAAAACATGAAGCAGTTGGGAGAGACTGATGGCCTGAAAGCCTAAGGTTTTACCACATGACCCTTGCACAGAAAATTTTTGCTGACCCCCGAGTAAAAGGAATGTTTTAAGAGGTAGTACCAACATAAAATTCATATCAAAACTGTCCTTTTAAAAGTCAATTTAAAATTTCAAAATATATTTGCCTAGAGGCGAGCCCTGAATCAAGTTTTTAATTACTGCTGAGTCTTAAAAGTGTGAAGCTTGTTGCAAGTGAACATCTTTTCCAGATGACAGCTCTCCCTTTTCCTTTAAAGAATCTGTTAGAATCATCCTTTCCACTTGAACATAAAACTGAGTGTCCAAAAGGCAAGCAAAGTTCATCTAAGTTGATCATATCAATTTTCTGAAGTATAGTTCTATCCACAAATTACCTATTTTTTTTATCTTGCCTCAAGCCTAACCACTTCTCTTTGTTCCATGTTTACTGATATTCCCAATTGTTGAATGTTTTATTTCAACATCAGAGGTGGAACAGCCACCTCATTATTATTGTGATCTCTAAATCTCTTCTACTTTGCCCTCCCCAATGAATGAGAGTGAATAACACAAGTCAAAATTCAGAAGTAGAGGATCCTTTTGTATAATATTTTAGAACTCTGATATTTTCAGAGACATACAACTCCTTTGAAACTTGGTCTGTGCTAGGAATGGACTATTACCATCTTTCAAACTGTTGCAAAGGGTGTACTCTGACAACTTCATTAAACACTAGCTTTGAGGAAGAAAAGTAATTTCTATGTGTATTATTTCAAGCTTAACCTTAATCTGAGCTTGGAAGGATCAATTATAAAAATAATACTTCCATAAAAGCTTATAAATATATAACTGAACAAATCATTAAGTATACAAAAGTAATCAAAATAGAAAGTTGACAAAGCATAAAACACCAAGAAAACTTTCATAAGAAAAAAATAAACTTCAAACTCAAGCTCAAAAATAAGGGTTTAATTCATAATGAGATTGTTGTGTACAACAGGATTCCCTTTTATCTCCTGTTTTTTTCAGTCTCAACCTCTAGAGTGGTCATTCCAGACCACTGTTGAGAGTACTTATAACTAACTTTGGAATCTTCAAAATTCCAAAGTTAGTTATAAGTAATGCGATGATGGATTTTCATATTCAAAATCATGGATCTCGGGCTGGGGTTGTAGCTCAGTGGCAGAGCACTTGCCTTGCACATGTGAGGCACTGGGTTCGATCCTCAGCACCACATGAAAATAAATAAAGATACTGTGTCCATACCAAAAAAGATCTTTAAAAAAAAAATCATGGATCTCTTCCTGAAATTATTCACCAAAGGTGGCGATATAACAAAACTTCTAAGTAACTTTAAATTTACCAAATAAATACATACTAAGACTTAGTTCAATAGCTGCAAACATAATTTTAGAAAAGTGCTGTTTTGTTTTTGGTGAGTGAGTAAGTGTGTGTGTGTGAAGTCCTACAGTGAAACCATATAAGGAAATATGCTGCTTGAAATAAGTATGTATATGGCACATATATACTCACGGCCCCTCCCAACATGTTGAGAGAATCTTAATTCTTGGAGATATGTAATTTAGTTTACAAATGATTTTTAACTATAACCCATTCTTTACTGAAAATACCAACAACAAAAAATCCAAATGAATTCTATAGTACCACATTTTTAAATACCCCTTTTTCCATTTCTAAAACAGAAATTAAAATTGAATACAACTGATTAGTTAGGCCTACGTAATGAGCCACTAAATAATGTGATTTCTTAGAAGTAAATTCCTGTGGCAGGAAAAATTCTAAATTTTGGAAGGAAACAATAAAGAAACAATTTGTTAACTAAACTCAAGGTGTCAGTGTTAAGAGCAGGATTCATAAGGTAGTTTGTTCCTCAGGAATAACAATGTTTTTCTACTTTAATAAAATATCATCCATATCACCTGCCAATGTGTAGAAGGATATTACATATCAAAAATCAGGCAAGAACTAGCCATCTCACTACTGAAGCAATTGAAATTAGTATGTCAAAGAAATACAGGCACTCCTATGTTCATTATAGCCTTATTCATAATAGCCAAGATTCAGAAATAACTTAAATGTGCATCAATGGACAACTGGGTAAAAAATATAGTATAAAAATACAATGGAATATTATTTGGCCTGAAAAAAAAAACCCAGGAAATTCTGTCAGTTATAATAATACAGATGAACCCAGAGGATGTTATGGTAAGTGAAATAAGCCAGCCATGGAGAGAAAAATACTGTATAAGCTGACATATTTGGAAGCTAAAACTGTCTAACTCACAAAAGTAGAGAAGAGAGTAGTGGTTACCAGAGGCTGGGGTAGGGACAAAGGTAACATTTGATTAACAGGTATAAAGTTATAGTTAGGAGAAACAAGTTCTAGTGTTCCACTGCACAGAAAGATGACCACACTAAATAATGTACTGTTTATTTCAAAATAGCTACAAAAAAGATTTTAAATACTTTGAACAGGACTGGGGCTGTAGCTCAGTGGTAGAGTGCTTGATCCCCAGCAATGAAAAAAAAAAAAAAAAGAAAGAAAGAAAGAAAAAAAAAGTCTGACCACAAGGAAATTATAAATATTTGCTGGATATGTTAATTACCCTGATGTGATCATCCCACAATGTATGCATGTATCAAAACATCATATTGTCACAGTTTTCATTCTTTCTTTTCTTTTCATTTTTTTTTTAAAGAAACAACAGATTTAATGCAAAAGTGATGGTAATAGACTTCTCCAAAGAGAAGGGGCCCTGGAGCTGGGAGTCCCTCAGTGTTTCTTTTCAGTGTTTATTCTGAAGCTTTAGAAAAGCAAGATGAATGATTTAAAGAAGAGTAAAACAAACCTACATTATGTAAAAAAGTGAACTGACATATGTATGGATATACATAAACTTTCTGTATAAAAATTTAGATTTGAATCTTAACTCAAAGGATTATCCAAAGGTAATAGTACATCTTTCTCGGAAATTAATTTGGCACTAGGAAATCAAGATGAAACATATATATATATATATATATATATATATATATATATATATATATATATATATATACTCTTTGATCTGTGAATTTTACATTTGAGATTTACATGTTTATACTTTATCATTACCTTATTTGTAACAAAAATGCCTCCACCCCCTACCAAATCCATATGAAATAGAATGGTTTAAAAAAAGTAGCAATTAGATGTGGGAATATTAAAACACTATTACAACAAAAAATTATTTAGATTCCTTATGGTGTAAAATATACAAAAATAGCCATAGTTTAACACTTTAGGTGCACAATTCAGTGGTTGATATTAGCACATCTATCTTGTGTAACCACCATCACTATTCATCTCCAGAGCTAATAAAATCTCTGTGATAACCTCCCTGGGCAGCTAATAATCACTACTTCCCTTTCTGTCTCTATTTGACATATTGAAGGTACTTCATTTATAACTGGAATCATACAATATCTATCCTTTTGTACCTGGCTTACTTCACTCAGCACATTTTCAAGGTTAATTCATATATTACCAAGTATCAGAATTTTAATCCTTTATCATTCAAGCTGAAGAATATTCTATTGTATATTTACATGACATTTTGTTTATTCACTTATCCATAAAAGGATATTTGGATTTTTTTGTTTAACTATTGTACATACTACTGCTATGAACACTAGCATACAAATATATATTGCAGATTCATATTTCAGTTATTTGGGAGTAGCTGAATCATACGGTAATTATATGCTTACTTTTTAAAGGAATTGCTATATTGTTTTCCACATGGGTATATGATTTTTACGTATCTACCAGTAATGCACAAGGTTTCCTTTATCTCTCTATCTTCATCAACACTGGCTATTATTAAATATATGGGTATGAAGTGGTACATCATTGTGGTTTCGATTTGCATGTCCCTAATGATTAATGGCATTGAACATCTTTTCATATGTTCACTATTCATTTTAATATCTTTTGCAAAAAAGTCTATTGAATTCCTCTGCCCATTTCTGAATTGGGTTATATTGCTGAGTTGTAGAATTAATTTTTACATAGATGTTTTAGTGACTCCTGAGAAAAAGTTTACATAACGTTCATTTATTCATGCATGAAATATTTATTGGGTATATAATATGTACCAGATCTTGATCTTTATACCAGGTAAAAAGAAGTCCAAAAGACTCTGTTCTCATGGGAAATATTTTTTAACATGGAGACAGGTAATAAAATAACAAGAATGTAAGTATTATTATACAACCACCAGGTATGAGAGATACTACTTTAAGTTGCATGGTTAGTGAAGGCCTTTGGGAAGTCATAGCTTGAATTCAAAAGTCTGGGAGATACAGGAACTGACAAGAGCAAAAAGGCATGAATTACAAGCTTGAGGTGTTTAATGTAGCCATTCCAGTTAGAGGGGAATGTGTTGTTGTTTCTTTTCTTCTTCCCATAGCAAAATTATCCTCCCAGGAGAATTCTAAAAGCCTTTGATGACAGTTGTAGTAGTGGGAGTCCTATACTCCCACTGTCTCGAAAAGTAAGAATGATTTTCCTCTAGGCTAATGTCTGTGTATACACATCCAAAAGATATCATGCTTGAACTGTTCTGAAGGTACTCTGCACAGAAAGGGTAAGGAAAAGAAAAAATAATATAGCCAACCCTCTGTACCCACCAGTTTTATACCTGCAGATTCAACCAGCCCTGGGTGGGGAAACAAACAAACAAAAAACCCCACACCGAACTCCATCTGTATTGATCATGTACAGACTTTCTTTTTTCTTGTCATTAGTCCTTAAACAATAATAATATGACAATTATTTATGTAGCATTTTCATTGTATCTAAGTTATAAGAGAATTTCAAGTATTCAGAAGGATATAATAGGTTATATGCAAATACTATGCCCTTTTAGATAAGGGACTTGAGCATGAGTGGATTTTGGTATGTGCCTGGAATTGGGAGGTAGGGAGGGAAAAGGGTGTCCTGGAAACAATCAAGGGCTGACTGCGGGAGGCACGGCATACAAACTTGGGGCAACACTGCAAGGGACAGTTGAAGACTATAATACCTTTGCAAGGAAAATGCATAATATGGCACTCTCCAAAGACTCTGTAGATAGGCCATGTTGAAGAGACAATGCTTGGACATGCAAGGCAAAGAACTGCAACAGGCAAGATTTTTACAATCTTAAAAAGATAAAAAAAAATTTAAAGGAAATAAACCTTGAAACTAAAATGAAACCAATACAAGCAAAAAAGTAAATCTCAGAACACCATAAATCAAACCACATTCAAACTAACCTCAGTTAACTGATTTTGCAAGGGCACAAACTATGGTGCTGGAAAGGGAGTTAAGGATAAGAAAGGGAATTAAGGATAAGAATGGAACAAAAGAACTTGAAGAGACTTGGAACTTAAAGGCAAGAAACTAAAAATTGAGGGGGTTTATTAAAACATATGCAGTGAGTTGATCTATATCTAACCTCCTCCCCAACTTTATCAGTTAGAGATTATTCTCACAGATAATATGCAGATTCTTCTCTAGGGAAATTCAATACTCCAAAGAAAAAATATCTTGTACCAACATTATGGGCTTCTCCAATAAAAGAGCTGACTCCTTGCCTATCCCCTAAAATAACGCTTGGCCAGTTGTCAAGACTTGCTCTGTACACAGAGCTTCCAGTCACTTTTCACACTTCACTTTGAAGTCTGGACTTACAAACAAGGATCAGTACATGAAGGAAAAAAAGTCTTTTAACATAAAAGGAAAAACACAGATATACCATAAACAGAAGTAGTAACCCAGAGGAAACAGAGTTAATTTAGCCCATAAAAGTATCTTAAAATAATTAATCTATTTGGTATTCTTAAAGATACAGAAGAGATAGAAGGGGGGGAAAAGGAATGAAGAAAAAAAATAGTACTGGGTTGGGGCAGGACTACTCCCTAAAAAAAAAATAATCATAAGATGAAAAATACAACTATGATAATCAACTGACAAAAGAAAAAGTAATCACAGTAATCTTTAAAAGAATAAAAAGGTAAAAGGATGAACAATAGATTCAAAAAGGGAGAGACTGAAGATGTACACCCAGGCACACCATCACTAAATTTTTGAATTCTTTAAGAAACAATAAATTAAAACAAATACAAATATCAGTGAAAGAAAAACCAGGTAATGTATGGGAAGAATAAGAATTAGAATGGTATTGAACTTTTCAATAGAACTGGATTCAAGAGTAACATCTTTTGATTTTTAAAATCCAGAACTTTCAGCTAAATAATCAAATAGAGGACAGAAAACATATCTTAAAATACAAAGATGAAGAAATTACAATTTAAACAACATTTCTTGTGAAGTTACAAGAGGATATGGCCCAGCAAAATAAGGTCAAGCAAAACCAAGTAAGAAAAAGAAAGGCATCCATGAGCAGTAGCTTCAACTTAGGACAACAACATAGGGAAATACCCACTTGTGAACAGTGGGGCAGCTGGAATAGAGAACACACAATCCTCAGTGCAGACAGAGTCAGGTCTTAAGGAAAAAAAAAAATTATTGGATAAGTTTCATTCAAACAACAACAACTCATAATATACATGCACATAAACTGGGGAAAAGAGTAGAAAAAAAAAGAATTCAAGCAATTGCTGGATAGTGGGAGGGAGAGAAACTGTTTAACAAAGTAAAACTGAACTGAAAATAGAGCTATCTTTATATCAGAAGGGTAATCAGGGAGTCAGTAGATAAAGTCTAAACCGGATAAGTAGGAAATAGCAGAATAAAGATATTACTAAGAAATTTGGAAAACTACCACAAGAATTAGCAATAATAACAAAAATAATGATGGAAAGTGAATGTATGTGTTAAGTAGGCCAGAAATGGGCAGGGTAAGGGAATATGGGGTTATTTTTCCCATCGTATGCCTTTAAGCACTATTTGTTTAATATATAATACACATATTAATTTGATAAGAATAAGCTTTATTCCACAATTGCAGTTTTAAAATACTTTGGATACAATGAAGATTTTATTTTGTTAACCACTTAACTAGGATTTGTCTTTATTTTGTGGTTTACACAGCCTATAATGGAATCCAAAGTCTTTTATCTTGAAGGGATTGTCAGTGGCACATGAGGGCAATGACAAGGTTACTCCTTTTCCTCCTAAAAATTTTAGCAATAAGAATATTCACTGAGAATTAAATCTCAAAGTATACTGGATAAAACCAGAGAAACCAAAATTCATTTAAAAGATATGTGGTGATCTTAGACTAAGATTCTACTCAAAATGGCCTGAAGGCATTAATATACCTAAAGGCATACTGTATTAAGGGCTGGGGTTGTGGCTCAGTGGCAGAGTGCTTATCTTGAATGCATGGGGCACTGGGTTTGATTCTTGGCACCACATAAATATACTTTATATTCAACCAGAGATATGGAAAATTGTGCTCTATATATGTAACAAGAATTGTAATATATTCCACTGTCATTTGTTAAAAAAAATAATTTTAAAGAAGTATTATACCCATCTACAACTTAAAAAAAAAAAAAAAAAAAGGCCAGGGAGCTAGGGATATGGCTCAGTGGTTGAGCACCGCTGGGTTCAATTCCCAGTACAAAAAAAAAAAAAAAAGAATACCGTGTTAAAAAGTCAGCACAGAAAGAGCAGTTAGAAAGGCAACACAGGCCTGTCTCCTGCTTTTTCAGGGAAGAAAGTTCACAAGCTCCCACAACAATAGTTCATGCATCTCTGAAACAGAAAGAAACGTATAGTCATAATAACAATGTCAGTGATATCATCCAACTCTAAGATCTAATTCCAGTCTCACCAAGTTTACTTCAAACCTCATTATTTTCCTTTCCAAGTCAATATACAATGCAAAAAGAGGGAAAATTACAAAGATCACAAAGTGAGCGAGTGATTCACCTAATGGTTATTATTCTCACCAGTATTATTTTATTTTATATATTAATCTTTGTGTTATTAATGAATGCTGGCTGCTATGAAGGATGAATTGCTTTTGATATGCTATCAGAAATCAGGTCCATGAACTTGCAGGACTGAGAGCTATAAGACAGACCACATAAATTCAAAAAGCTATTGCCACCCTGAGTGTGCCTGAGAATCCGGAAGACTCTTCCCCCTTTTCTTTACACTGCAGTGGCTGAAAAATATAATTTTTCAGATAGATATCAGTTGTATAATACTGAGTTAATGTAATTTTGCTTCAATCGGTAAACACTTGCATTTAACTCTAACTTTTCTGAACAGAACAGTTTGGAGAGACAATTGCCACCAAGCAGCAAGTCAATTGCTACAGTATGATTTTAAGAACTGCTAAGCTTTTAAGTATCATCTACCAGTTTATTTTCACTGGCATAATCAAAATTTATTTGGAAGTAACAATAATTAATAATTCCCCCCAGATCCATGTATTCATATTGTCTTCTACAAATAAATAGCAAAGAAAACACAGAAAACTTACATGGCACTGTAGTTCCAAACCTAGTGGGATTCAGTACTATGAACCTGTTTTTCAAACTTCTTCGGCCCACACCTTGAGCTCCTATTAATACTAGCGTTTTTCTCTGGAAGGGAGGCATTTTAGCTACTTCCTCGTATATCTGAATTTCATGACGATCAAATTCTAAATGTAAAAGGAAATGGAAAAACATTATATTTACTTATCTTTCCTATACATGAGAAATCATCTACTATACTTTCCAATGATGGTTTTGTTGTCTTGATTGTTAACCTGTTTAGCACAGATTTAAAAAAAAAAATTGGTAAAGTACAATAAATTATTTTATATATTGACTTAAACATCTGTTTCCAAGCATGTGCTCTTAAAATTTTATCATACTTATTTATCAAATATTTATCCATTAAAGTTTCTTTATAATCAATTTGTCAGTAGAAACAACTCTTTAGTGCAAGTAAGCAAATTATAGATCAGTAAAATTTACACTAAAAAGGGTATATTGAGTATGGAGGACAGGAGTGCAGAGTACGTCCTTCCAATGAAGTAAATTAATAAATACTATACCAAATGCATATAAACGACATGCTGGTATTTAAATATTAAGATCCTCAAATTTATGTATATAATAAAATGTTAGATCTAAACTATTTTCAGTTAATATATCCCAATCATCATCTTAGTCAACAGGAAAAAGACAAATTTTCTATTTTTCAAAAACGCTTTAGGGGCACATATTTAATGAATACTAAGGTCAAAGTGAATTTGAACGATTATATTACCTGTCATTATTGATAGAACCATTATTGCTAAAATTCCCAATCTATGGTAATAACACTTAAGTTATTATCTCAACAACCTTTCCTTATACAATTTCTCCAAAGTAGATTTCACCAGTACTAGGACAGAAAAAGCTTACTTCTTCCTATAGTATTTCTTTGATTGTATACACTTTAATTTACTACCATTTTAGGGGTAGGACTGAAGTTCAGAAAATATGTCATTTATTTATTTTTGTGGTGCTAAGGATCAAACCCAGTGCTTTTCATATGTTAGGAAAGTGCTCTACCACTGAACTACATCCCAGGCCCTGTTTTTTTATTGAGACAAGGTCTTGCTAATTGCCCACGCCATGATGAACTTGTGATACTTCTGCTTCAGTCTCCTTGAGTAGCAGGGATTACAGGATTGTACCACCATGTCTGGCAAGAAAGTACTCTAAATAATGTAGTTTCCATTATTTATCTTTCTTCTTTTTCTTTTTCAGACAGGCAAGGTGTACCTGATACAGGTCTGAGATCTTATTTATAAAAAAATAACTTTATGCTTTGTTGAGGTACACCTGACAGTAATTTTAAACTCTACAATTTGATGTTTGGATGTAGAGACACATAAATGATCCTAATTCATTAATGATGATCATGTGCCCCTAGCTAATTAATGTATCTATCACCTCACATGGTTATCATTTTCTTTCCTGTTAAAGATACTTCTTTCTTTGAGACCAAAAGATTTAAGAAAGAATTCTACCTAATTAAGCTAAGATTTGCTTGGTCCAGTGCTATTTTTCCAGAAGTCTTAAGGACAATGTTATGGCAGAATATAGTTGTCCTTAATCATAACTCTTTTAATATCTTCATAAAAAGCATTCTGCCCTTTAGAAATAGCACATAAATTATAATTTAAAAATTCTCTGAATAAATGGTTTCAATAATTGTAACATTGCCATTGGTTAATACCTGCATATATGCTAACCAATTCATTTGGTTTTTAAACTACACTCACAAAAATCAGTTAGTATATACAGTAAGGGCTTAAAAAACCTTTGTTATATTGTACCATGTGTTCACAAGCCAGACCCTTGCAAGTGGGTAGTAGTCTAAATTACATTCACTTTAAAGTACATATTCAAAGCTTATTCTGTAATTAATGATATAAGTTATTTTAGACTTAAAAAGTATTTAAAACCTACCTGCATTTCTGGTTGTGAGATACATCATTTTTTTCTTTTTTTTGCTACTTATAGTTCCACAAAAAGGTCCTGGAAGGATGACAAGATCAATATAATGCAAACAATATGTCAGAATATGATAAAACTGCACTGTGATATTTTATGAGAGTGGGACAATCATCTTCTTAATGTCCCATCCTAGGAAGCTCAAGGGGGCAAGGGTGAGTTAAGCCACTGAATTTTGATACTCTACCAGTAGGTGGCAGAAAGGGATCAAAAAGATTAATTTTGAGAGAAAATAAAGCAGATGGGAGGAATTAATTCTAGATATACTTAAATAAAGCCATTGCTTATTTAGACAAAAGAGGCAAAGAAAGGTGAGAACAAAGGGCTGTTTGTACTTATTGTTTCGAGCTCATCACCTGAATTGTCCCAGTCTCTTCTAACAAATGCCTTTCTCTTCTCTTCCAGGAATTGGCTTGGAATGAGACCAGCGCTTCCTCCCTCTTTCACATGGCTAGCCTAGAATCAAATTAATGAATTGTATACCTCAGTGACCAAAATTTGAGACCATATTCTAGTAAGTAGGATAAGCAGTGGTCAGTAAAAATAATGTCACTTAAAAAAAATAACCTTTAGATTTAAATCCATGGTACTGGGTTAATTAGCATTGAGGAATTGATTGGTACCTAAAATTCTTTATATATGTTATTTGGTGATGAAATTTTAAGACCAAAATACAAAGATATACAGGCTTCTACAATTATTAACACTTTTTGTTCATAATATTAAATTAGTCAAAGAAGGGAAAGAAATACTGTTCTATAATACAGAATGAGGGACTATGGGTATAGCTCAGTGGTAGAGCATATGTTCAGCATGCACAAAACCCTGGGTTTCATCCCTAGCATCAAAAGAAACAAAAACCTAAAAATCCTAAAAGGCAATTATAGTAAGATGTGTTAAGAGAACATTTCATCCAGCACCCTTTAGTAAGACATGTACTATTAATCATAATCCTGCTATACTGTTATTTCCTGAGACCAAGTCAATGAAGACAATATACAGGAATTTGAATATTCTGAGAGGTAGTAAATTTAAAATAGGTAAAACTTCATCTAATTTCAAAACACTTGAAATAAAAATAAAAGATATTTTTAAGTAATAGTCTAAGATTTGGCTATATTGCTTATTTCACAGTTACTGTCTTTATCCTTACAACTGGCAAAGAAAACCTGAAATCATTTTTAGCAACCCTGGAAATTAAAGTAATAGACTATCAAAATGCAGGAAAAGATTGAGAAAATGGTGACTGTATTAGAAGAGAAAGCTAAATGATGACATTCATAGAAAAAAAAACATGGAAAAATAAAAGACATAGCCAAAAGAAAGCAAATTTTAAAAATAAGTATTTTAAGACATTCAGTGAAAACCTCTAGAAATCATGGATTCTGTTTAATTTTATCCATCTCTTGGTTCTCTCAACACACAGTACACTTATACATAATCAAATCTCAATTTAAATATAGGACACATTAGTAAGACTATTCTTATCTTGTAAATGGTTTTAGAGTTAACGTAAGTTACCAGTATTTCAGTTAATTTTAATTTGGTCCTACGTTCTTTCCTCTTATACTATATTCTTTAATGAGACAGTCATTTGGCATGACAGTTAAAAAGCTTCCAGACTTTCTGATTTGTCAGTTTTTCCAATTTTGACTGCAATTGTTTGCTGATACAATTACAAAAACACTCATTACTGTTTCTAAAACTTTCTGAAAGCAGTATTAGAGGAAAGGAAAAATAACATCACCATATATATCTTACGGAAGATGGGGAAAGGGAAAAATATAGTGATGACACACATTTCTTTTTTTATTCACAGATTTTAATCCAAGACATAAACAAAACTAATATAGCAAACCTTCATTTCTCAATAACTGAGAAGAGGTGAGCAAATAGATTTAAGACCTTAAGAAATTATGCTTTACTTGCCATGAACATAAACAGAAAGGGAGAAGACAAGACTATACAAAAGGGTTGACCCCAAGTGAGTTCTTCCTGCTCATAGCATAGTTTAATGCAATCACCCATGTGAAAGAACCAATTACTCGAATCCCTAAACCAATGGAACTGTACCATAGGTGGGTGAATTCTGAATTGATTAATAGATACTCACAAATTCTCTTGCAATTTGCTCTTTTTTTCCACAAAATTAGTAGCCAGGAGGCAGAAGCTGTTCATGTGGGAAAAATAAGGGAAGGAATGGTAATACCTTCCTCCTGAATATTCAGATAATGGCCAGATCTAAGACTAAAAATAGAAAAGCAGTTGAAGAACATTTGAGAAGCATACTAACCTGCCACCAGTTTGGATCTTCTCTATTTACAATCTGAAGAATTTCTCCTTTGGAAAACTTCAATCCTGCTTCTTTGCAGGGTATCAGGTTATCATTGTATGGGTTATAATCAAAATGACACTTTACAAATACCTAAAACACACATAACAATGAAAAATACCATAAATGAGTTATTTGCCACTGGATTTTTGAATTCCCTTTCAAAGCTCTGAGATTTAATTGTAAGTGACATGTACTTAATACTTCAAATAAGGAATTTGTCTCTCACAAGTAAAAATCAAGTTATTAGATATTAACATAATTTGGCATCAGAAAAAAACAGTAAACATTAGTACTATATTAAAATTGTATTTTAATTAATCTTAAATCAGCAAAGTTTGACAATTATTCCATTCCACATTTTCCTACATTCCCCCAATCTTTTTATTTGATTTTTCAACCAATGCTGCATAATTTTTAATGTTACTTTTCAATTAATATCCTGAAATAAAGTATGCAGTTGATTGAAGGCATATATTTCAGATATATTAGGACTGACTTTGTAAAGGGATCCTGACACAAAAATTAAAATATAAAAGTTCGTGGTGAAGTTAGACCTGAAATACATTTGGTAATCTTAAAGAAAATTTAAAAAAATCTACTTTCATCCCTAGTAATTTTTTTTTAATCAAACACATTTACACTGGCCAAAACTAATATGAAAAATAGTTTTCAAAAATTAACTTGCTCTGATTTATATGATCACTTATATTTAAATGATCAGCACTAAATTAATTGTACGACAAATACTGAAAAAGCCTTTTAACTATTTTCCAATTTAAATTCATTTACATATACATGTTTCTTTTAAATTTGCTTTATTAACAAAAGTATGTCAGTTATCTGGGATATTTTGCTTGTTCACTTTAATTTGAATTCTAATTAATTTAAGCATTTTCAACATTTGAAAGTTCAGACAATTGCTTTTTAAAAACAGACTTTTTTCACACATATTTACAGAAATTCAAATTTTATCTTCTAAAGAATAGCCTCAGTATTAATCAGCAGGTATACTTTAGTAAGCAGGAAAGCACACAATTAGTCAAAATAACAATATTATTTCTCTATTTTGTTTATTATACTTCCATAACTATAACCAAATAAGAGATTCAAATAGTACAAGTGCATATATTATTAGTGTGGTAAAAATTAATATGATAGATGCATACTAAAATAATTTTAAAATAACTAAGTTTGGGGACATATGACAAAATTTAGTTATTTAAAATTAGATGATTTTGATAGAAAGCATTGAGAACATTTTCAACAACTTGAAAAAGCTAAAAACTAATGCTAAAAAATCAGTTAGCCAATTTTTTTTCGGCCTGATATACAATTTTACAAGTATCTAAAAAGCAAGCATACAAACATATTAAGATTGCTAAAATGTGTCAGCTGGATAACTTGACAATGGCATGCAGCTCTATGTTTTGAAAGTGGGGGAAAAAACCAAACAAGTAAGTTTAATCAAGGTAAATTTAGTTGACTGATAAGGAAGAAAAAGGGAATACCAGAGAATGCTGTGGAATGACTTCATACCTGACGCATGTGTGCTGGATGCCTCTCCATGTTGATGTAACTCTAAAAATATATTTTTAATTGCATAAATAAAGCCAGCTTTTAATTTATAATAAATCAATAAAGTATAAATAACTTCTGGGCCATTTTATTGTTTCACTTGGTAAAGAAACTACCTCTCTAATTAATTGCCCACAAATTATAAATGATAGAAGCAAGAAATTAGAGGTACTTAAGATGAGGCAGAGAAAAGGAAATGGTATACATAGTTATAAAATACCTGCATGTTCCTCATTTCTAATAAAAGGGGAGCTTGATGAAGAACCATGTCCTATTATCTAACCATGTTTGTCCTTCTTATGTGTGGGAACATATTTTGTAACCATAAAGTTACAAATTTAATCCAAATTTCAAATATGCATTCCCCTACTTTCCTTAAAATTATTCTGGAAATACAATTATTTGTGGAAAACAAATTACATTTCTCAAATATAAAAATTTCTAGAAGGAACAATTATGTTTTCATCTATCCAACTAATTTTGGATCATTCCCTTATGCTCAAATTCAGATTAAACCTAGTTTTACTTAGGTAAAATCTGCCTGAAAAACCAATTAATCCAGCTTTGATATAGATATTCTATAATAACTTTAAAATCATTGGAGAATTTACTATATTTAATGTAATTATTTATTAATTGAATCTTGAAGTGTTTCACTAGTAGGCTATGTATGAATGTTAACTGTTCTTTTTTAAAAAATATTTATTTATTTTTTAGTTGTAGTTGGACACGATACCTTTATTTTATTTTCCTATTTTTATGTGGTGCCGGGGATCAAACTCAGTGCCTCATGCATGCTAGGCAAGCGCTCTGCCCACTGACTGAGCCACAACCCAGGCCCCTAACTGTTCTTTATAAATAAGTTACTAAACACCATCAACTAAAGCATTTCAATTTCACATTCTTATTTTTTTACAAATAAGAACTGAATGAACAAAAATTAGAAGAGTAAAATTACTTTCCTTTCACTTTTAAACACAGATGATCAACCTCAGAAAACAAATTGAAACTGCAACATTTTATTCCTATTTTACTAGTATAAATCCAAATGTTTGATATATTCTATAGATAGGAAAAACACCTAATAGTCCATATCCCTAATAGACTTGTGGAAGATGGTTCAACCCCTTGGGAGGACAATTTGGGAAAAACTATGAAAATTACAAATGCATAAACCTTCTGACCTAGTAATCTACTTCTGAGAATGGATTCAATAGTTCTATTAATCAGATACATGCAAAATGATTTATGTACAAGACTACTACTAAGTTATTCCAAACAGCAAAAGATTAGAAGCAACCTAACTATTTAACAATAGGGAATTGGTTAAACAACTGATGATAAGCCTATGTTACATAACACTATTGTAGCAGTTAAAAAAAAAAGCATTTGTGAGTGAAAGAGGGTGGTGAGGGGAGGCAGTTTAGGTATGAAGAGGAAAGATCTAAGATGCATGCTTAAGTGAAAATAAAAGAGAGAGAAGATTCAAAATAGCATGCATATCATGAAAACCTTTCATGAAAAAGGAAGTGGAAGGGGAGTAAGAGTATATAATTTTTATTTACTTGCATATGAATAAAGAAACTACAGAAAGATAAAACTAACAGCACAGTTTCTTATTGGGATGATAGGTATTAGACTGATAGCAGAAAGGATTCACAGGGAGACAACTGATTACCTACTTAGATTTTTTTGATTTCTGAACCATGAGAAAGATTCACTTAATCAAAAATTTAAATTTTCTGAAACATCTAGCAAACTGGATAGAATATACGAAACAATGTCTCAAGACATCAGAGATCAGGCAAGAAAGACAGTGATCTCTACAAGATGTCATCAAACAAAATCATGAACTGCACATCTGCCCCAGTTAATTGCACAGGGAAAGGTCCCCAGATGCAACTCAGGCGAGAAGACTACTGCTGGAGTCTGGTGATCTCCAAGTTGAGGAGATGAGCTGGGAGATCAGGAAGATTGAGAAGGCAACAGAGTACTGAAAAGAGTATCAGTGAGGAAAGCTACAGAGAGGGAGGACTTAAGAATCACAGGGACTCCCTCCAGTTTTTAGCTGTCCCCTGTTTAGTGCATGCATATAAGGAAAGTACCCAGCTGCTCCTTCCTTACTGATGGGGCACTTGAAAATGTCAAATATCAGGAGGTCATATAAGGTCAAGAATAGTGTCCATTCTCACCAGGTTGGTGGGGAAAAAAGAATCTCATGATTCATGAGACACTAGGTAGAGTACTCAGAAGGGCAATGCCCTAGACTTCCCCTGCTCTGGTTGCATCTATCAAAGCTTAAGAAGCAAGATTTCAAAGGATCAGAGTACTTCCATGTAACTGAATCAAAGAACAAAACTTAAAAATATTCCTAATACAAAAATGTCCACCACCCAACAAACTAAAATTCATGATGCCTGATAGCCAACTGAAAATGATCAGGAAAATATAACCTAGAAGGAGGAGAAAAGCCAATTAAGAGTAGCCCAGAAAAGATGAAAATAATAGAACCAATAGACGAGGCCAGTATGATCATTATTTTAATTTTACATTTTGTGTTCAGATGTTCAAGAGTGGGCATGTTAAGTGTACACATGATACACACACACACACAAACACACACATACAATTTGAACCTAAAGAAATAAAAACTAATTTTTCTATGATTAAAAAAAATCAGTTGTGATTAATAGCAAATGCAGAAGAAAAAAATAGTAAACCAAAGATACAGCAATAGAAACTATCCAATATGGAAAATATGGAGGAAAAAAGACCCGATGAATAGCACATTAGTGAATTATGAGAGAACTTCAAGGAGCCTGCTATGTAAATGGAAAGAAAAAGGAGAAATAGAGGGGTCAAAAAATATCTGAAGAAACTAGAAAAAAATTTTCTGAGCTTGAAAGAAAGTTTTTCCTTTCAACAAACAGAACTAGAAAAAAATGAATATTTATACGTAAAAAGTAAAAGAAAAAATACCAACTTTGATCTTTTCCTCACACTATATATAAAAATAAACTCCTAGTAGGTCAGTTATAGACCTAGATTTAAAGCACAGAACTATAAAACTTCTTGAATAAAGGAAAAAAATCTTTGACCTTGGGTTATATAATGATTTCTTACAAAACAACAAAAGCATGACTTACAAAAGAAAATGTGATAAGTTGAACTTTACCCAAATTAAGAACTTCTACTCTTTGAATGATTGACACTGTTAAGAGAATGAAAAGTCAAGCCAGATACTGGAAGAAAATCTCTGCAAATCAGGATGTTCTTTTCTGAAGATTTTCTCAGTATATGCATGTGGACTACTTGGTTAAACACACACACACACACACACACACACACATTTTGAGACAAGCAAGGAGACTATATATAAATATAGCTTAAAAAAGATTTGAGGGGCAAATCCATCTGGGGGTCACAAATTTAAGTTTCAGTTGTTGTAGTAAAATTTTATTAAAAAATATTAGCTTAGGCTATTCAAAATTATGCTAATCAAAATTCTCAAATTT